AAAGACAGCCGCGGTTTCGATGCTGATATGCGCAGACAGCGCTAATATGAAATCCCTCTATATATACGAGGTACAGCAACAGTGTCTTCAGTGTGGAGAATCAAATTGCTATGTTCACGTAAATTAATCTAAAGAACTCAAGTGTACCAGATTTTCTTCAAATTTAACTCGCAAATGGCTGCATGCAGAGTACTGCATGCACCGCGTGCGTGAAGCATTAGGGCCAGTCGTTTCAATCGTGGATAGAAAAGTGGTATGGTGCAGCACCGGAACAAAAAAGGTGCACCTTGCGTTAAATATTCTGTGTTAGACATTTGGGGTAAGACGGGGGCGTACTGCATTAATTCCTTCTTAAGGAGAGCTGACCAGCGTTAAGATTCGTGTCAGGAACTTTCATTGAGCATCAGTACATATAAATTTGGCGACATTGTTTTCCAAAAAGCTGGGAGAGAGACAGAGACAAGACTAAGTCCCATTCCGTGCTTGATTTAACAAAGACCTATTATCGCCGACAATATGACAAAAGAGCAAAACTTCCTTGTTCTTGGTTAGACTTTTTCCTCTCCCTCAAAGGAGGCAACTCTGGCATTGGCAAAGTGACCGCCCAGGACTTGGCCCTGCGAGGCGCCCGGGTCATCCTAGCCTGTCGCAATCTCAAGAAGTCCCAAGACGCCGCCGAGGAGATCAAGGAGCGAACGGGCAACTCGGAGGTTGTGGTGCGCCGCTTGGATCTTGGCAACTTACAGTCCGTGCGAGAATTTTCAAGCGACATCGTGGCAACGGAAACAAGGCTGGACATACTCATAAACAACGCAGGTAATAAGCCATTTGAAAGAGTTTTTAATGCCAATAATTGGAATAGCATTGCCGACTCATGATTTCCAAATCTGCCTTCAGGAGTTGCCGACCAGCAAGTGCAAAATGTCTCCTCGACAAACGACAACTTCGACTTCGTCTTCGGCATCAACCACTTCGGCCACTTCCTCCTCACCAACCTCCTTCTGGACCTGCTGAGGAAGAGCGCCCCCAGCAGGGTGGTCACCGTCTCCTCCATAGTGCACACCTTTTCACCGGCCGAGCTGAACCTGACTCGTTCGGACCCCAACTCGGCCATCCTGTATCCACATCTGGAGTCCTACTTCATCAGTAAGCTGGCCAACGTGCTCTTTGCCCGGGAGCTGGCAAGGCGCGAGGCGTCTAGTGGAGTGGTGTCGGTCTCTCTCCATCCTGGTGTTGTCTACACGCCCATTTGGAAAACCCACATGACGGTCAAATCAAGACTGAGAGGTTTCGTGTACTACATGCTGTCGCCTTTAATGTGGTAAGTGTGATACGTGTATCTTTTTCAGTTTTGGGTAACCAAACGCTGATGGTTGTCGGTCATTTAACCTGGTTTTCATATTGTCGTAACCAACGCCAATGGCACGGAGACGTCAAGACGCAGACAGTCACGAAAGAGACCCTGCGTGATGTCATTCCACCTAACAATTAAACAACATAACGTCCAAAACTCGATAAAAAATTGCATGAAATACTTCTTTTGGTGGCACTTCCCCCCCTTGAAGCCAAACCGATACTATAGTTTGATGTATTTTAATTTATTGACAATTATATGTGTGCTCGATGGTCAGCGTTCAATTTACACAGATGTGCGCGGAAACGCGCGCGTTTGAAGTCTCTCAATATTCTGGTGTATGTATGAAATTGGCAATAGAAAATTTAATACACACAGATTCGAAAATCCATGGGCCTCCACACACATGGTACGCTTCCTGTAATGCCTTTGCTCTTCTTGTTACGTTACTTGAAAAACCTCTTTAAGGAGAAAATGGGCAAAATGGGTGTGGTATACTACTAAAAGGACGTCGTTGCAAGCCTATCATGCCCTGCTCCCGTGCGTGTTTATATGGGTCTTCTCTGACGACGCAAGGCAGGCAATCGTTTTAAGTTCTTACAGTTACGGTACTGACCGACTACCAACAGGAAAAAAATGTGATTTTCATTTAATAATGTATAGCATTTGAAAGTGTACCGGTACCGTTAAGTTAAACAATCACAAGCACGAAGGATGAAAAAGACATTTTTTAAAAATCGTGTTTTTTTTTTTCTTTTCAGGTTGCTCTTCATTGATGAGGAGGCGGGTGCCCAGACCACCCTCCACTGCGCCCTGGACGACTCAGTGCCAGACCTCTCTGGGAGCTACTTTGATAACTGTCAGGAGACGAAGCCATCGGCACTCGCTCAGGACGACGACCTGGCCCGGAGATTGTGGGAAGTCAGCTGCGAAGCAACTGGACTGAAATGCTCGAAGATTAAATGCTCCTATATATGTGCACAGATGATGAGCCTATTCAAGTTTTGCAGTTCTGTCAGACGCGGCACAGGTGTAAAGCACGATGCTCGATAAATCTATGGTCGATAACCCTCTCGTCAGCCATGCATGAATGCATGCATGCTGGCATGCATGTATGCAGACATGCATACATGTACATACATACATACATACATACATACATGCATGCATGCATGCATACATACAGATATACACTTATTTTTAGAAAGGTTTGCTGACCCGCTGAACATTCGTGAGACACTTTGTCTTGATAGGTATACACGCACTCAATTTAAACTCATTAATTCCTATTTTGAAACTTGTACTTTGGCACTGAGCGGTGATTAAGACTCCGTGTTTGTCACAAGTTACCGCATCTTTGTTTAATGCTGTGTTTGCATGAAAAAGAGTTTATCTGACAAAAGGGCACCGTTTCTCTATATAGACCTCTACTTAGATTGTATCGTCTTGTTTGTCTTTTGGATATTGTACTAAAAGTCCAAAGGGGAACGATGGTCAAGGCAGAATTCAAACTGAAAAGGTCGATTTTAGATTGGACTAAAACTGCACTTTGACTTTGAATAGCGCTAAACACTATAGTTTTCGAGTTCATAAAATGGCTTTTCTGTACAGACTGTGGAAGTTGCTTGTGCCCACTTTGGTGGTTTTGTACGCTGTGTATTACTGGCATGTGATTGCAGGTCGGAGGTACTTTACTGGAGATGTTTCCCTCAAGGGAAAGATGGCCATTGTTACAGGTAAGCATATAGAACTGTCCCAAGAATGCAGACAAAGCAACGCGCGCCCTTTGCCGCTCTGCGGCTACATTTAGGGCATTGGATTGGTAAGCTTAGAGAGGTCTACCAGAATATTTTCATAAAACCCTCGTGGAAGTAACGTGAAACCAACTTGAAAATTTTGTTTAAATCTATCAGCGAGAAGAGGTCAGCAGTTTTGGGACCAAGGCCACACAGTACATATCTAATCAAGGTTTAAACCTTTTATTGTCTTTTTTAAAGGAGCCAACTCCGGCATCGGACGATTAACAGCCTTGGACTTTGCCCAACGAGGCGCCCGTGTCATCCTGGCCTGTCGCAATCTCCAGAAGGCCCAAGACGCCGCCGAGGAGATCAAGACGCGTACGGGCAACTCGGAGGTTGTGGTGCGCCACCTTGACCTAGCCAGTCTGCAGTCCGTCCGGGAATTTGCCGGCAAGATCATCGAAAGTGAAGAGAGACTAGATATTCTTGTTAACAATGCAGGTTGGTATTAAACAGAAGTGTACTTCAGGAGCGCTTTCCCACACCGTATGCTTGTCGCTAAATCAAATCGTATCTACCTTGAGCAGAAACACCCCCTCAATGGTTGGAAAGAGACATGTTTATCGGGAGTGTTCATTTTTTTGGTAGCGACGCGCTCGGAACACGTGCATTTCAAAGTCGTTCTTAAGCCAGAGAAAGGCAGCTCTGACCAAAGGAGCTTACATTGCTAGGAAACGTGCGCCCCTCTCTTAATCCGGCTTGGGGCTAATTGAACTTGGTATGACGGGCCACAGTTGGTGTAAATGCAAAAATAAAAAGAAAAGAAAAATGCACAGCCAGCACTAAATTAATAAGCCTGCAAGACGCAAAAGTAATGTTCACATTCACACAATATGAACAATAGTACAAACCACTGGCAGAAAACACAGAGGCCTTTGATCACATGTGTAAAAATATGTGACCAAAGTCAGTAAATTTTGACTGCTGAAAGGGAAAATGCAATGTTTGTGTGTAATTTTGGAATATTTTTAGTATGCTTTCTCTGCCACAATCTGACATAAACCATTTTCGACAAGAAGTCCAGTGTCTGCTTACTTCGATGCCCCTATTCAGGTGTATACAGTATAAAGTCTCGCACAGCTGTCACTGTGGACAACTTCGATTTCGTCTTTGGCGTCAACCACTTCGGCCACTTCCTACTCACCAACCTCCTTCTGGACCTGCTGAGCAAGAGCGCCCCCAGCAGGGTGGTCACCCTCTCGTCCATAGCCAATTACTATGTCAAGGGCCAGATGAACCTGACCCGCGAAGACCCCAGCGTCGCCAGTATCTTGTACCCTCACCTGGAGGGCTACGACATCAGCAAAGTTGCTAATATTCTCTTCGGTCGCGAGTTGGCGAGACGAGAAGCATCCAGAGGAGTGGTGTCTGTCTCGCTACATCCGGGGGTCATCTATACTCCAATATGGAAAACTTTCATGGATGCTGACTCGCCCCTGACGGGAGTGTTGTACCATACACTTTCTCCAATAATGTGGTCAGTGGTGAACCGTTCAAACAATGTGTTTCTTCCACAAAGGAAGATAATTGTCAAAAAGCGTAAAGGGCATATTTGTTATAAACCTCCCTTGGGGGACTTACCTGAAGGAGGGATCTTTTCACCGTTCTACAATCCTGTATATAGTTGTTTAAGCGTGGGGAAAATTCACTTTTAAATTCTCGCCTTCTTCCCCCAAAACTTCTCATTTTGTATTTCACCCAGTTCGAAAAAGAAAAAAAAATATTGAAGAACTTGTTCAAACAATAACAATTGTCTATACCAACAGGTTGCTCTTCATTGATGAGGAGGCGGGTACCCAGACCACCCTCCACTGCGCCCTGGACGACTCAGTGCCAGACCTCTCTGGGAGCTACTTTGAGAACTGTCAGGAGACGAAGCCATCGGCACTCGCTCAGGACGACGACCTGGCCCGGAGATTGTGGGAAGTCAGCTGCGAAGCAACTGGACTGAAATGCTCGAGAGATTAAATGCCTGCTACATACGTACGTACAGATGACGAACCCATCGACGGACTATAGTTATGCTAAAAAATGGCCTTGGTAAAGTCTTGTAAATTAAAAAAATGAAAAACAGCTGGACTTGAATGAGCAATATCTGCCTTTGAAATATCGACCTCTCTCTCCCCAGAAAATCTAAAATAGGGACCCACGTGACGATCACTGCAAATCAGGCTGCATCCGAATCTGTTGTCTAGAGCTAGGTCTAGGTCTTCACTCCATTGAAAATACGTGGAGACACGCAGACAATAGACCTAGCCCTAGCTCTGGAAGCCCGTTTCGGACCCGGCCTAAGTGTACTTGTACACAAATAAAAGTTACAAAATTATTTTTATGGTCACTTTTGGGTAAAAGCTTAAATGAAAATAGGACACCGGTTAAAGCAGTGTACAGCTGAGAAAAATGTCTAGGTAATTATCTGCACATACGAAATATTCTTTAATCCAATCTTTACTGACGAGACCTGAATTGAGCCAGCCCAACTTAATCTAAAACCCATCAACTGTAGGGAGGTAAATATTTGCAATGATCTCAGGACCCGCATTGTATTCCCGATCGAAAAATATGGAATGTCTCTGTCTTGTTCAACCCCAAGACTTCGTTCCTGAAATCTCATTATTGTTTTATAAGCTCACCCAGAAGAGTGTATATTTTAATAGCTTCTTTTTAATAGAAAGGATGGGCACAGCAGAGCACCCCAGACATCTTGGGGGTAACGACATGTACTTGATTTATACTGATTAGGAAACTTGTATTGAAAAATCGCTGTGAATAATAAACTTTGCTTTTGAGCGGGGACTCCCTTACACGAATACCCGACGCACAATTTTACTTTAGGCACATGTACCTTGTTACCCACCATGGGCCAATTTCACAGAGATGCTTAAGCACCAACTTTTCTTAAGCACAAAAACCTTGCTTAAAAAAAAAAGGTTACCAGATCAAATTCTTTATTTTGGTTGGTGACCTGATTTGCCAAGCAAGGTTTTTTTCATGCTTAAGCAAATTTTGTGCTTAAGCAGTTCTGTGAAATTGGCCCCTGATACCAAGCCCCATACACCTGGAACTCGTACAGCCCACAACAGCCAGAGTTATCGTCAGACCCGCCCACGATGCAACGACGTACGTCTTAAACTTGTCACTAGTAGGTGTAGGCCTAAATGACGAACAAAGGAATGGCCTGACATCAATCTCCGTGCCCGTCGTCTCCTATTGAAAACAGTGTATTGGTGCAAAGCGTCTTTTAAATAAAGCCTGTTTTCCATATCGACGTTAGAAACGTAGAGAGCAACGTAATCAGGGCGCAAACTGCAACGCAGGCAAATGGAAACATGTCAAACTGAAATGTCACCTCAAACGCAAACCAGCCCCAGACGGATCTGCGTTGGGTCGCTGAGTAGGCCCAAACGAACACGCACGCCGGCATGACGGGCGTACAACGATGTTTCAATCGCTTAGTACCACTCATTTTGTCCATTTTTCCTTATTACTAGCATATACATCCCCAATTGTCAACAAAATAGCTGACCGTTGACAAATGACATCAATTTGAGTATCAGTGTGGCTTCAAGAGACAACACTGCCACCTAAAAAGGCATTGCAAAAGTTTTCTGAGTTTCGGACGCCATTTAAAATACAAAATTGGTAGAATGGCGTCGCATAGCGTCTCTTCCGCGACTGTCTGCGTCTTGACACTTTGCATTCCGTCTGCGTTATAAAGGACCGTATGGAAACCAGGTTTAACTAAGCAAACGCGTGCCCCGGGAATCACACGGTATGGCAACAGTGCCGTTAGTATGGAGAATTCAAATTATGTTCACGTGAAATTAAAGAACTCGGTGTACTAGATTTTATTCAAATGTAACTCGTGAAAGGCCAATTCGTCCAACTCAAATCCAACAGTCCATAGGCCTGGAGGGGTTTCATCGCAGTCTCCGCCCCAGTAAGAACGTTGTCCCGAAACTGGACACCAAGTCAGGTCTCTGATCCCCGATATGCTAACAATGGCACGTAGGATGTGAATGCAGGCATGTGAAAACATAAACTTATCAATAATCACGGTTCTTTTTATTTCAAGAGAAAAATCGGAAACCAACGGTTTGTAATCCACCAAAAAGCGCGCCGAAAATGATATCTGGACATCGCTTAATGTCACTTGTGCACAGGTGCATTTGTGTGTAGCACACCAAAACACATGGTGTGTTCATTTTGTACCCAGTCCTTGAGGGTTTATGATTTTGTTTACGCTCCGAAATTTAAGCGTCTGTCTTACACATCACGGACTACAAGCTGCATTAAAGTTTACCTCACTTTTTCTGAGACTGCTTTACACTGCTGGTGCCCAGTCTTGATTTCTTGGGTTTGTTTGTTTTGTCTTTGTTTTGTTTTCAAAGTCTGCTGTGAATCCGGTCACGCATAACGTTTTACTAACCAGCCACCATTGAACCGATACCATAGGATTGCTAAGTTCTCCCCTTCCAAGCGGGTGAATGCGTGGCGTAGTTATTCAAAGACGCGTGACACCTAGCCTTTGGTCAGGGCGTTCGTCATTTGTCAGCACAAAGCAGCGCGCGCAAGCCGCTCGCTGACCCAGTACGTACCTGCGTACGTGTACGTACGAGCGTAAGAATTCAGTGACTCGGGAACGAAAGACGATCACAAAAGTGCAGTAAGTTAACATGAAGTTTATTATTGAAACCGAGGTCTATCTGTCATTATAAAATTGACAGGAGAAAATGTTGAAATTAACGGTATATATCCCACTTTAAAATGTACTATTCGTGCATGACCACATGAGCATGTACACCGGCTCCATCGAGAATTTCCGTGTACATGTGTATGGTGCTCTATTCCCGCCATTTTGGCGTCGCGTCGTACCGTTGCTCCGACGCCACGACGCGACGGCACGACGTCGTGCCGTCGCCTCCTTTCTTATTGAGTTCATGCTAAGCTAATTTCGTCGCGTCGTGCCGTCGTGCCGTCGGGGCGATGGCACGACGCGACGCTAATTTGGCGGGAATAGAACACCATACATGTGTACAGGTTTAGCCGCCTATGCGTTCAGTTAACCTTTCACCTTAAGACCTACTTGAATCATGCAGTTACTGTGTAGCAATCAACCAATCCAAAAGCGTATTTAAAACATTGGCTCTGGCATAAGCGTAATAAGCACCGCCTGCACGGACGGTTGCTACGGTGTACTATTTACGACAAACTTTTTTCTCTCTCTCTTGCCTCTCTCCAGGCGACGCAACCGGACGACGCGACTGCACGACGGCTCCCTTACGTCGTGTCGAACCGTCACCTTTTGCCATTTGTTTGTACACATACGTCGCGTCGTGCCGTCGCCCGTCGCGTCGTGCTGTCTTAGGTCCTTTCCTTGTTGCATTTATTTATGCCTAAACGTCACCCCTTCCGTCGCCCGTCCTGTCGTGCTGTCGTGCGTCGCGTCGTACGTCGTGTCGTGCATCGCGTCGCCTGAAGCACGACGCACGACGCGACGCGTCGTGTACTGCTGCCCTTTGCTTCATGGTGTTTATAGAGGGCGCCTTTACTGTTTTCTTTTATTTCCTTCCTCCTGCCCGTGCTTGCACAGTACATGCCATAGGTACTTGATTCTGTTGTTTTTTGTTTTTTTCGTGGATTCTTTCTAACTTTGTATTTTCATTAAAATAATACATATGTCACGGTTACGTGGGGGGGTGTTGCCACCTAGACGTAGTGGGTCCGCTCAACTTTTAAATTGAGGACAGGAAACTGCT